GAAGGGGGGCGGTTGAGATAGGTCTCGCTCTATCGCTTAGGCTGGAGTTCAGTGGCAGTATCTCGGCTCACTGCAACCTCAGCCTCTTGGGCTCAAGTGATCCTTCTATCTCAGCCCCCTCAGTAGCTGACACTACCTTTAATTTTTTTGTAGAGATAGCATCTCACTATGTTGCCCAGGCTGGTCTTGAATTCCTGGGCTCAAGTGATCCTCCCACCTTGGCCTCCCAATGTGCCGGAATTAACAAGGCCATTCCTTTCCCCAAATTCAGGCCTTTGCACTTGTTTTCTCTGCCTGAAATGAAATGTCTCTCTGAGCTCTGCATGACTGACACATGTTTATCCTCCAGGTCTCTGTGAAAGTTGCCTCCTCAAAAGGGCCTGTGCTAACCACCATTTTTAAGTCAGCCTCCTCTGATTCATCTTATCCTCATTACCCTCTTTACTTCTTACAGCACTCTCACCAACAGCTATGACTTCATTATATTTCTATTATCAATGCCCCCCCCCATTAGAATAGAAGGCCTATGAGACCACAGATCTGTCTAGCTTGATCTCAGCTGTATCACCAAGAGCTTAGTACAGTGCATGGAACATAGGTTGGGTGGTAGGGGTGTGGGGGATGGGGGGTGGGGGGTGGGGTGTTAATACCAGTTTGTTGAATGGATTTTTTTAAAAAGGCAGAATGATGAAAGATAAAGTGCAGCTAAGAAACACACAGGAAATGAAACTCACTGTATCCTCCACGGCTCTGCTGTAGGTTCAATTGGGGTGACAAAGTACAACTCTTCTGGTCAAAAACACAAACATCTCACCACTGTCACCACTGCTGCCACCAAACAGCAAGTCAAAAGAACTGAGTGTTCTGGCTCTGGCTCTGATATTAACTACAACTTTGGCAAAATAAAAGACTTTACCCTCTTAGACCTTATCTGCAAAATGAAAGAGCTGTGTGTTTAGCTTTAAAATTCAAACATTCTAAATTCAGTATATGATTTGTTATACCCATCTCTGCTTATTCCATTTCTTCTTTTCCATAAAAAGCCTACCTAGCACATACATCCTGTATCTGAAACCTGTGTCTAGGCATACCTTCCCACCTCCACATTCTATCCCGACGCACCCAGCCTCGGGGTCCACGTGCATGAGCACTCAGAGATGCCATGGTTTCTCTCTCTTTCACTTGTTATCTCTAGACAGAAAAGAGTGATATAAAGAAATCTCAATCTTCCCGACTGAGCAGGTCCACCTCTGATGTGGCAACTCTGCAGCTGGAAGGGATCCACATGAGATCGCAGATTTCCAGCCCTGACCTCAGACTGGTCACTTCACACTGCTAGACATCTTCCAGTTGACGTAAAACTAAAACTGACACTCCCAGAGAAAAACCAAATGCAGATTTTTGTGGTTCAGGCTTCTAGTCAGAAACTGACCTTTTGATAAATTTTTCCCTTAGGATCTTTGGAAGATTTAAACTTTAATTCTGAGAAAGACTTATCCCAGAGAAGAATACAAGTTTTTAGAGTACCAACTAAAACATAAAACCAAGTATTTCCTATGAGGGGAAAGGAAAAGACAAACAGTAAAGAATCCAGGTGGCTAGAGAATGAAGGAATAGAAAAAACAAAAAGAGCGGCTTTCCAATTTGGGTTCATTTGTAAAATTACTGTTTCACAGAAGTAGTGGGAAGGGGTGTGGGAGAAATGAAACAAACCACAAAACCCAACTATCCTCACACTCAGAGCGCTAGGAAAGAGAAAATTTCCTCTGACTTGCCTTAGGACCAATTCAGCAAATAAAAAAAAAATCATTCAGCTACTCTCATACCGCTTCTCCTAGCTCTACCAAGAGCCAGCTTCCCCTTCTGCCCCAAATCCAAAAGTAACGCAGGCTATTGCTAATATTCTCACATATATTCAAAGTTTACCTGCTCTGGAACTAATTCTCACATTTTTGGTCCCACATCTCTACACTTTCCTTGGGTACACCGGAATAATATTTCTTGGATTCACAAGAAACATTAAAATTTGAAATTTAAATTGAACTTTTTTTTTAAACCTTCAAAAATAACCATTTTGCTAGGTGTGTAAACAGAAAATTGATGCTAAGTCTGTGAAACATGAGATATTTGTTAAAAGAGCAAAATCAAATCCAAACCCTGACCAGAGAGCACCAAGATCTCTGTTTCCTGGACTGACAACTCCATTCCACCCTCTGGGCTCCTCATTTGCCCTCACATAGGTCATATAGAGCCCTCCATCTGTCTGACCTCCTCAGTTCCATCCTCCCACTGACCAACAGCGCCACGGGGCTCCCAGGCAGTTGGTACCACAGCTGCCACTGCCTGGCATGAGAACTCTGGCCGAGGCCAAAGGGAGCCATAGCATTAAAGGGAATGCTGACTGCAAACAGAGGCCGCAGATGAAAGGTTTACTTCGGCTCCATTGTTGATAGCAGATGTGCCGGTGCCAAGAAAACCCCCATTCTTCAATAATCAAATTTACGGAGGATTTTGTTCCTCAGAAAACATGCAAGAGCCAATTAACATATCCCTGTGTTTGAAATAAGTGTTAAATATGAGGGGTTTTAAGACACTGGAGAATCTCAATTCAGCCTACTTATTTCCACCCGAGAAAGCAGTAAGCTAAACAGAATCCTCTCCCAGGAAACCCAGGGCTAAATTACGCAGGTTCTTTAAGCATGTAGTACCAGAGACAGAAAACTCAATTGTTCTCTAATTGTTTCATGAGTGTAGGCTGATCTCTACACTAATCTGTCCTGTGGCAACGACCAGTTTCTCTGGCACAGAATCTTACACTTCAGCATATGGTTGGGCATTTGGTAGACAATGCAAATATTTGCTAATTTGTCTTAAAATTGTTTTAAAGCAATTTTTTAGGTTTGTTATTTTTAGAAAGAATGTTAAGTTGTCCCTTTGTCATTTTTTTTTTTTTAACTGGGAACATAGAGCTAACCCTAGTTGATAAAGAAAGCAAAGAAATTCTCATTGAGTTCTTTATTGACTGAATTAGAAGGCAGGCGGAGTGACTGTTCTGAGGAGAGAGGATCTTATTTGATTCTGCCTTCATGCAGCCACCTACCCCTACCTCCATCACGGCACAAAATGTTCAATAAATGGCTCAATGCATTAAACCTTCGTAAGTTAGGGTCAAAGGTGCAGTTCTGCCATTGGTTTTACTTCTCCTTATTTTTCCTTGGCCCCCGAACAAGTCACATTTGGAAGGTATCTGGAGGCACTCACAGCTCAAGAGCTCAGTGAGGATGGAACTCCAAACCCCCTCTTCTTCCTTTTCCTTCTTTTTTTTTTTTTTTCTGAGACAGAGTTTTGCTCTTGTTGCCCAGGCTGGAGTGCAATGGCGCAATCTTGGCTCACCGCAACCTCCGCCTCCCGAGTTCAAGCGGTTCTTCTGCCTCAGCCTACTGAGTAGCTGGGATTACAGGCATGTACCACTATGCTCAGCAAATTTTGTATTTTAGTAGAGATATGGTCAGGCTGGGTCTGGAACTCTTGACTTCAGGTGATCCACATACCTCAGCCTCACAAAGTGCTGCGATTATAGGCGTAAGCCACCGAACCCGGCCTTCAACCCCCCAACTCTTCTAAACCGGTAGTTGACACTAGAAAGTTACAGATTGTCCTCCTGGAAGATAAAGGTTATTTTTCCAGCTAGGAATCCCCCCTCAACCTAAGGAATTTTACTTTCCGGCATTTAAAGTAAGACATATCTGGATGGCACAAATGTCTTTGAGCAATAAAGATGCAAATTAGAATGTTTATAAAATAGTTGTAACTAAACCACAGACTTTACATTAAAAGATAAGTTTTTTGTTTTTGTTTTTTTGTTTTTTTGGTTTTTTTTGAGACGGAGTTTCGCTCTTGTTACCCAGGTTAGAGTGTAATGGCGCTATCTCGGCTCACCACAGCCTCTGCCTACTGGGTTCAGGCAATTCTCCTGCCTCAGCCTCCTGACTAGCTGGGATTACAGGCACGCACCACCATGCCCGGCTAATTTTTTGTGTTTTTAGTAGAGACGGGGTTTCACCATGTTGACCATGATGGTCTCGATCTCTTGACCTCGTGATCCACCCACCTCGGCCTCCCAAAGTGCTGGGATTACAGGCTTGAGCCACCGCACCCGGCCAAAAGATAAGTTTTAAAATTCACTTCAAACATTTCACTTGGCACTACTAATCTTAATTTTGGAGAAACTGGTACCACTTTAAAATTCAGTGACAGGATGTGAGCTCTGTGTCTCTTCATTCAAACACAATGCTGCTGTTTATCCATGAAGTAGAAAAATAAATTTTTTTTCTTGGTTTTAAAAAATACATCATTTGGGTTACTTTTGAAACCCATGGTTGAATAATATTCTATATTATATTTGTGACTCACTCTCAAGTGAAATGTCACCATACACCCACTCTTCTTTTTCAGGTGATAAATAATAAAATATTTTAACAGAACTTTAGTTACAAAGTTCCTTACAATTTACAGGGAAGAAGACCTTTTAAAATAATAAAAATTAAGAGACTCTGTCATCTTGTTTTTACTTTTTTACAGTTTAGGTCTCAGGAAAAACTGAGTCTGAGGAAATATTAATCAAAAAAATCTTTTTCTTCACATTGTTACGTCAGTGTCTCCCAAAACAATATATTAAGACACCTGAAAACCTTCCTGAAACTTTCTGGTAACCGAAATCTTCTCTATCCTGGATCCTGTATGTTTTACTGTGTATAAATTTTGGCTCAATAAAAAGGTTCCGTAAGCCTTTCTGCAAACTGCATTTCAATATCTATCATCAGTAGTCCATCTCAGATTTGAGATCTTCATGGGTTATTAACAAGATCCTAAAGCCAAAAAGAAATTCCCTACCCGAAAGCCATGGACTAACCTCCCCACCCTGCCCCACCTCCTCCGGATATTTTCATCTCAAATCTGGCTTCAAATTGGAATTGCCCAAGATAAGAAATTCCACACACCTCAACTGACTGACAAGGCATCTTCAGTTTGGTGAGCTTGACTTTGGCAGGCACTTTCAAGTCTGTCTTCTCAAAGGTCTGCTGTCGATAGTCCTCCGGCAGTGGTTTCAGTTCAGGAGATTCACTAGGAGCCTGATCTTGACCATCCATGGGCCGGACATAAGCCGTGGGCTTCTGCTGCATTGCAACACTTTTTGAGGGGAGGGAGGGAGGTGGAAATGACTGAGAAGGTGGCTGGGGAGGGGCCACCAAACTGTCTTGAGGGATCTCTTTATCATGGACTTTCACTGCTAGGTCCTTGGGAGATTTGGCTGGGCAATAGCCCTTACTGTTATTGTTGCTGCCATGAACCTTGCTGCTTCCTTGTGTCCGGGAAAGAGTTTGCTGGTTGGAATGTATAGGTGACAAAGGGGGAACTGGGGAAGGCAAAGAGGAGATTAAGGGAGAAATCTCCCTCTCTGGAGCCGAGTCTGCCACCGAAGCACAATGGTCTCCATCAGTTCTTCGGTCACCTTTCTTGTGATGAGTAGAGCTGTACCCCTCCTGACCAAGGCGATCCTGGGTCAGGTGCTGGCTGTCTGGTGGGCCATAGCTTTTGGCATGGAGACTTGGCATTGGTTCAGTTCTCGGCTGTGCCATCTTTGGATTGTGGCTAATGCTGCCAACAGAAAGTGGTCCAGACGCAGGAGTGTGAACGGACTGGTGGTGGACGCTAGTGTGAAAGGAGTTGGATGGAATGCTGCTTCCCTTATCAGGAATTAAAGAATATTTCGGCTTTCCCGATCTAGTTTCAGAAGCATCCAAGCAATGAGTATGGGACTTAGTACTAAGGAACTCCTTCACTTCTTCGTAGTTTCCCAGCATGTTCTGTATTCGACTAGACAGCTCATCACCTTTTGCTGTCTAGAAAAAAAAAGAGAATTGAGAGTTAAAAAAAACTAAGAAAAACTATCATTTAACAAACCATGTTACATAATACTATTAAGGAAAAAAACTCTGAACTTCATGTATGACATACAGAATTTAATGTGCCATTTTAACTCAATTCTCTTGTTGAGAAGACTACCATGGACACATACTAGTAATCGCAGAAGACTAACGTTACAAAAGAAAACCACAAACTTTGGTAACTCCGACCAACAACGTTCAAAGAATTTTCATACTTTGTTTTCAAAAACAATCTTTAGAATAAGTTAGAGTAAGTTATCTTATTTGCACAGCTGTGACCCTTGTTCGAACTCAATTATACTGAATTGTTTCATCACAGGGTCCAAGATTGTGATAAATCAGACCTTCAACTGCTAGTATTCAGTAAATACCTTGTAGGGCTCTCCAAAAAGGGGAATCTTTTCAGGAAATGTCTCTTTCTCTTGGTGAGCTTCCTGGTTGCGTCTTTCCTTCTCTCTAATTCGAAGCAGGTTTCTGTCGTCATTGTACAAACTGTTTCAGATGCCACAAAAGAATGAAAACAATAAAATTTATCAATCTCCAAGTTTTGTCATGGATACATGCATTCGATGAGGGAGGAGGACTAGTCTGGGAAGAAGCAGTGATAACAGCTGTGATTTAAAGAAAGCCTAAGTCCCTTAACCCAGCCTTAGGCTGAGGCCTCAGTCACTCGGCTGTGACCCTCCAGCCTGTGGTCCTGGCTCCCAGAACCCAAGCATTCACTCTGGGCTATGGTCTCCATCATGACTCAGGACTAATTCCAAACTGAACAGCCTTTTATAGGCAGCAGTGGAACCGAGACAAGATTAATGATATTTTTATTTTCAGCTTGCAAAATACGGGTTAGAGGTGGAAGCTTTTCATCTGCAGGAGTCAGCAGGATGTGAACTTTAGAAAGGCTGTTTTCCTGGATCAGTAGCGTACATTTTGAAAGATTAAAATCAAAAGGCTTATTTCATAATTAAAAGATTACCAGGCACCCAAAACAGCATTTACTTTATTCTCAGTCTACTCTACTGGGAGTGTCTTGGCATGTAAACCCCACAAAAATGATTTTTATTGCTCATTTCAAATGTCAAGGATGAGAAAATCCAATTCTAGATGTCAGCTCTACCTATGGAGAATGACTTATAATCTGACTGCCCTACTTTAACCACATAAAAATGTACCCTAAATCATCAGCCCTTGCACCAAAGGGGTTAAACAGCATTCAGCAAGAAACAAATCAGAGATGGAGACCCAAAGTCGTGCTGTCTTAGCCAACACATAAACCCAAAGCGGGCTTGCCTCACTGTCAGCAGCACAGGCAACTTCCCAACCCTCACGTGCAATATATGATTTAAAAATGAAATAACTATAAAATAATTTGTCTTCATGGACTTGCTCCTAGGGAATTTACTGAATGTTTTCTCCCAATGCCATTTGAACAAACAGGAAAATATTTTAGTGTCTAGCTAAGGTTGTCAGTACCTTCGGAAACGCTAGTCCTGATGTCAGACACCCTTCCCTAACCCCTTTCCTGGCCTCTTTGCTCTCTTCTGACTTCTCTTATTTCCTCTGACAAGAGCCTATTGGTCTCCCTGCCTCCCCCACATCTCATCCCTCTAATCCAGCCTTCTCATGAAAAGAAACCTGATCAAAAGCCCTGATTCTCATGTCACCATCCATATTTTAAAGTAAAGAGCATTTGATGGCTCTTTACTACTGCGGAATAAACTCTATAAATTTGTGCTTTGGCATTGAAATGCCGCCGTAATCTGGCACAGATCTACTCTCTGTAAATTATCCACTGTCCCCCTGGCAGGCCTGCCACATGCATTCTACTTGACAGTCAGTCAGTTATGTCCATCCCCTGAACATACCCTGTAAGGCAGCCTCTTGCTCTAATTTCTACCAGCCCCTCTTTACTGAAAGATTACAATTTCTTCCAGGGCCAGCTTCCTTAGAAAGTATGACTCGCTTATAAACCATCTCTATATTCCAGTCACACCTGACTACTCCCCATTCCTCAGTGATATCCTAGACTTTGATGCTTTCTTTCCAGTCACAAATTTCCACTGCCTCTCTCCACCACACACCCCCATCCTTAATTTTCAGCTTCCAGCAAATCTCTAGAATGATTCGAATCTCACTCACTCTAAAGGCTTCCTCAAATCCCCAAAGTATGTGCTTACCTAACACACCAATTAGTTCTCTCTCCTCCTCCCCTTTCCCCTAGCATGTGAACTCCATCAGAATAGAATCTCCCAAATTTGCCACCTCTCTTGGTGCCAAAGCATGGTACTCTGCATAGAAGGTAATCATTAAATATTTTTAGGTTTAAGAAACACCCACTAGGGGCCGGTCAGAGTGGCTCATGCCTGTAATCCCAGCACTTTGGGAGGTCGAGGTCAGGAGTTTGAGACCAGCCTGGCTAACATGGTGAAATCCTGTTTCTACTGAAAATACAAAAAATTAGCCGGGTATGATAGCCCGGGCCTATGATCCCAGCTACTCGGGAGGCTGAGGCAGGAGAATGGTTTGTACCCAGGAAGCGGAGGTTGCAGTGTGAGCCGAGATCATGCCATCATGCCACTGCACTCCAGCCTGAGCAACAGAGGGAGACTCCGTCTCAAAAAAAAAAAAAAAAAAAAAAAAAAAAAAAAAAAAAAGCTACTACACTTATAGTGTATTTTTATAAACTTACAACTTTTCAAAACAAATTTAATGCTGGAAGATACATGCAAAAATTATTTTTAAAAATCATCTAAAAAGTAATCTGGTATTTCTATAACCTTTCAATCTATGGGGGTAGGATGCAGGGAGAGAAGTTAGCTGCCTGACTCTGAATTCGCTATGATATGGTGAAGAATTATCTCCTTAGGCCAGGCATGGTGGCTCACACCTGTAATCCCAGCAATTGAGAGGCTGAGGTGGGCAGATCACAAGGTCAAGAGATTGAGACCATCCTGGCCAACACGGTGAAACCCCGTCTCTACTAAAAATACAAAAATTAGCTGGACACGGTGGCGCGTGCCTATAATCCCAGCTACTGGGGAGGCTGAGGCAGGACAATCTATTGAACTGGGAGGCGGAGGCTGCAGTGAGCCAAGATCACGCCACTGTACTGCAGCCTGGTGACAGAGCAAAACTCCGTCTCAAAAAAAAGTCTGGGCACAGTGGCGCACACCTGTAATCCTACCACTTTGGGAGGAAAAGGTGGGCAGATCACAAGGTCAGGAGTCCAAGACCAGCCTGACCAACATGGTGAAACCCTGTCTCTACTAAAAATACAAAAATTAGCCAGGCATGGTGGGGCGCACCTGTTATCCCAGCTACTCAGGAGGCTGAGGCAGGAGAATCACTTGAACCTGGGAGGCGGAGGTTGCAGTGAGCTGAGATCACCCCACTGCAGTCCAGCCTGCGTGACAGAGAGAGACTCCATCTCAAAAAAAAAAAAAAAAAAAAAAAATTATCTCCTTAGACCTGTGCATCAAAAACTTTTCCTAGGTGATGGATATTGCAATAGACTATTTTAAAAGAACTCTTAAAACGACAAAGTAATAATTTATGCTAGTCAAAATACTGAAAAGCAGCAGCTGCTAAACCAGAAACTGGCCATGAAGTCTTCTGTTATGGAGTCTGAGTCTCACCTGTTTCAGACAGTTAAACTTACTTCTGGCTGGCAGTAGCACACTGGCCTCAATGACACCTAATGCATTTGCACTATTTAATAATTTCGGTAATTCTTCTTGTTGATTCAAAAGATCACATGCCATTAGCATATAACCATAGAAGCCAAGTAAGCAGGTTGATCAGGAAATAACTTCTATTTTCCTTCAAACTTGTTTTACGGCCACTTTGAGCCAGTTTGCAGGAGGAGCTGAGCAGGCAACTATCCTCTGAGCAACTACGCTTCTCTTCTCCCAAACTATCCAGTGCATGCACCTTGAAGCAATCAAGACAGGCCGAGGGGTGAATAGGTAGAGGGAAGCTTACCATGGGCATGTGCTTGCCTGCTTGGCTATTTTCTCACCACTAAGGGAATTCGCCCCTCTCCGATGCTGCGACTCAGAACAGTGGAGTCCCTATAGCTGGTTGGTGTTCATAGCCTTAGGCTCCACTTCACAGGGCAGAGCTCCGCCCCTTCTAAATAAATGCTACCTTTGTCTCAGAGAAGGGAACTCCAAATGGCAATTCTCAGTACAGGATCCAAAAGGGAGGGTGTGAAGAGTCGCACTTTAACTAACAGGCCACTCAGAGTCCTCAATTTTCTCATCAATTCCACACACCCAATTCTCCTTTAACAAAGTTAAGTTGGTTTAAAAATCACTAAAATATTTTTAAATCAATCAGCTCAGCCTTGTATTATCCTTATCTCAGCATCAGTTGGGTTTCTCCCATACTTCCAGATTTTCATTTCAAAATATTGAAAACTGCTACAGAAATAACCAGAAGAGCCCAATTAAGCCATTCTTTCACAAAATTCCTAACAAAATTCATAGTTTATTACTATGTGATTCTAAAATCAAGAAATCTCCCACAGGGAGGAAATCCTATTAAATTAAGGATTCTAGTTAATTAAGATTTTACTTCATTCATGTCAAAAATATAAAAAATCCACACTAATATTTTATTGACAGACACATAATTCTACACCTATTTTGAGACAAATTGTCTTTTTTTGATTCACCATCACCTTTCAACTAAAAGCGCTGTAAGTGGTGAGGTTAAAAAAAAAAGACATCATGGATATCACTGGTAGGATGACTGTTACGAGGTCCAGGCTTCGTCAAAGAAACTCACTCTCGCCACACTGTCCAACAACTCCCTGTTGGGTCAAACTCACAAAAACTCCTGGGCAGGGCAGAGGAAGACAGAAGACAAAGGAAGTTCACAGGAGTAGAGGTAGGCTTTGAGCCCCTGTTCTCAGTTGCCTCCCCTTGCAACTAAATGGTTTTGTCAGTCACACTGAATAGTTTTCTGGTTTCTTGTTGCAAATTTGCAATGGCTTAGCAAATGATTTGTTAAAAGCTCCCAGGCAAATCTTTTGTGAATGTTTTCTTTTTCTTGGTTCCATTTTGAGATAAAATAACATGAAATTTTAAAAATAAAGACCCACAATTCGTATCATAAGTAAACCTTTGTTCAGCCTATACACATCATTGATTAAACCAAGGAGTAAGCAAGAAAGAGGCAGATGGGAAAATTTTTTAGTGATAAAATTTTAGGAAGTGGCAAATGCCCTATATGATTCACAAACTCTGTAATAACCTTTTTTTTTTTTTTTTTTTTTTTTTTTTTTTTTTGAGATGGAGTTTCACTCTGATGCCCAGGCTAGAATGCACTGGCTCCATCTCGGCTCACTACGACCTCTGCCTCCCGAGTTCAAGCTATTCTCCTGTCTCAGTCTCCTGAGTAGATAGGATTAGAGGCACCCACTACCACTCCTGGCTAATTTTTGTATTTTTAGTAGAGACAGGGTTTCACCAAGTTGGCCACGCTGGTCTGGA